TTACACAAGGCTCTGAATGGAAATGGCTGAGGCAAGGGCATGCATGTTCCCTTCTCCTGATGCCATGACAGGAACAGAACCTTCTGCAGTGTGACAAATCAGACGCCTTGGGGTAGGAATATTTGAAACCATCACAGCAAGACTTGCCAGGCCATAAATGAAGTAGAAAACAGATACTGGGCGCTGCATATTCTGAGAGACAGGTCCAGTAAATAGTCATGCACTTGTTTCACTGTCTGTGAGGTATCAGCTCTGTGAAGAGTATTTGTCTTAGTTGTCTTCATATTTAAGCCACCTTAAGACAAGTGTGTTACTAGGATGTCTGAATCCCTCTACGTTCCTAATGGCTCTTGTGTAAATAAATGGGACAATATTATGCAGAAGTACTCACTGAAGTCTCAAAAGGGATACTTTAGCTTTGCTTATCAGGCATGCAGGTTAAGTATGGGCTTTCTGATACTGTCTTCTCATCTGTGGTACATTTTCTTAGAATCAGGATGACCTAAGATAATGATTTTGAAAGGCCTGTAGTACAAATGACATTCGTATCAAATAATGACATAATTCTCTACTTACTTCAAATAGCTTATTAGAAATAATGCTCAATTTAAGAAGGTATAGAACATTTAGCACCATTATTGCTTCCTACAATGCAGTATCTTTAAGAATTTTAAATGAAAAAGTTTCATTATATAATATTTTTGTTCTTCTCTCCCCTTCTCCTTCCTCCTCTTACCCCTCAAATGCTTTTGAGGGTTCATTTACTACCTCAGTGTCTTTCAAGCTAAATTTACTTAATTTAAAAGTACTGTTATTCTCTCACAACTTTCAGTCCTTGAAATACCCAGCATTTAATCTATCTGATGAGGTTGTTTCTTAGCTAAGAAACACACATCAGCAATGATAAAGATATGACATCGAAACTGTGTTAATAGCTCTGTAGTTGAAGTTTTGCCTGGAATGAAGTATAAATTACCACACTTGCAGTTGCTTTAGCTATGTAAGGCTACCAATGGAAGAAAGTGATAAAAGATGGACTTTACTGGGTAAAGCCAATAGTCTCTGGCAGTATGTACAGAAGCAGGCCTTTCAAACAAGGCCATACTTACAAGTTAATATTCAGCACACAAATGCACTTTGAAAATGCTGTGCTCTGCTTTTCAGAAGCCTGTAATTGTGTGCAATCAAAAAAAAGTTTGCTATTGATAAGGTGTGGTCCTATTTGTCCTTTTTGTTGGCAGCATGCAAGACGACAGTTTAGAATCCTCAACTTCAATATCTCAACTTCTGAGAGAAAGTTATTTAGCTGAAACTAAACATCAAGGGAAGAGTGAAAGAAGCAGATCAGAACCAGCTTCTCATAATTTCCATTATGGCAACGCTTCTGGTGATTTAGATGAGGTAGCTGCCCAAGATGACCTTCCAGACCTCTCCGCCTTTTTGAGCCAAGAAGAGCTAGATGAAAGTGTAAACCTGGCAAGACAAGCTATTGATCAGAATCCACCAGAAACTAAACAGGATGAGCTTCAGGCACATTCACAGCATCCCCCAGATCAGCTGAAAAACACAGGAAAACACAAACAAATGGCCCAGTCTACAGCTCTGAAAACATCAGACAATGGTCTGCACTCAAACTTTTGTCAGGACCATGTCAGAAGTACAAAGGGCTCCAAAGGGAGCTCTCAGGATCTAACGAAACACCACCTCCCTTCTGAATCAGAATCCAAAAAGGAATTCCTAAACAAGGCTGCAGATTTTATTGAGGAGCTCTCATCACTTTTCAAAGCTCACAACTCTGAAAGAATAAGACCCCGAACATGCAAAAACTACCGGAGCAAAATTGATTCTAAGAATAAGCCTGCTCAAAAAGGTAGCTCTAGCCTATCTAGCACATCAGAAAACAGAGAAAGGCTTTCCATTCCAGTACCTCAAGACTTGGAAAACAAAGCAGAGCAAACATTTGAACAAACAGATGATCAACAGGCGGCAAACTTGGAATCTATCAATCAATTAACAAGTGCAGAGGTAAAAACAGAGTCAGAATCTGCATCTGTATACTCTGATGAACCTATTGGACAACCACCACGCTTTACTCAAAAATTGAAGAGCAGGGAAGTTCCTGAAGGAACCAAAGTGCAATTGGACTGCATTGTGGTAGGAATCCCAGCACCTGAAGTCAGGTAAACATATTCTGCACTTGTAATTTTGTATTTCTGTAACAGTAGGTGTATGCCTTACTCTTTCCAGACATTTTGATGCATATGTTTCAGTAATCTGTAGCAGAAGTCTCTTGATCTTGGTTATTAAAATCGATTAAGAAAAAAACATGGCTTTCTTTAAATCATACAAAAGGTTGCTTACATTTTAAGACAACATATTTTGGGATACATTACTTCTTTGAATTTTAGAGCACTGTTTTTAAATACTGTACTTCTATGATTAAAAGAAAGTGCAAACTCCTTAGTGAGAAATGTTAGTTATCTTTTTCTCATCATTCATATATTATAATACAAAGAAAACAACTGAAATAATCTTCTTTTATGTATATAGACCTGTACACAAACTCAGTCTGGCTTTCTTTGTATTCAGAAAAGGTGAACACTGAATTGCTTGTTTATAGTCATAGACTCCGGCACACAATGTTAATTTTATGTATTTCTCCAGAAGGCCACAACATCATCCTTCAAACAGCCCATCATGCCCACACCATTGTCACATACAAAAAACTGACAAGGTGTTCATGCCATCTAAGTTTAGGCATTTAACAATATCTGAATTAGAAGCTGACACTATAAAGTCACTGAAGCCTCGCAAGGGCAGATCAGAGAACCCAGGAACAATGACTCATCCCATGGAGTATCCAGGGATGGCCAAGATGCCTATGCACCCAATTCAGGGACCGCTTGATTCCACAGAATTGGATGACAGGTATCGTTGTAACTTGGGTCTATTTTTGTCCTAGCAATGCTGAAGCTTTGCCATTGAAATTTCTATTCCAGCATTTCATTTTGTTTATTTTAAATAGTAAAATAAGCTACTTATGTGAATGACAGTCAATACAGGAGCTGTTACACTTTTACAGAATAAGGATCCACCAGACTCTTCCAATGATAAGCCACTGCTGTCAGGCACTGTACTGCTTGGAACAGAAATGCACACTTGGTTTACTGACTCATGCTGGTAGCCAGATCAGGAGGAGCTAACACAGAAGTCCAGAAATCACACGCTGGTGCCCCAAGGCCAAGGGAAGTAGGAACAGGAAGAAAGATAGGGAAAATCAGACCCAAGCAGTCAAGCTCAAAAAAAAGATCAGGTAGTGCTTTCAGTTTCACAATTTAAACTAACAAATAAAAGATAAATCACAAGGGCCTAAGTTTGAAGTCTCTCTCCCCTTGTGTTTTTGTGTGTGTATGTGTATGTACATGCTGTATTAAGGAGAAAGCTGGGAATGCCAGGTGCCTGAACAGCATTTCCTGATCATAAACATTTGTTAACAAAACTTTCATCTTGTTCATCCAAGACTCTTTCAACTCCACCAATGTGTAGGAGTAACACTAAGAAAGGGTGTAAAAAAATTCACTTGCCTGAGCGATAAATATTCATGTGCTTCCAGTGATCATGGCCTTTTTAATCACTACTACAGCATGAGGAAATCAGAAAATACAATGTATTTTGGGGTATGTGTTCCATTAATCATGGGCACCATGAGAATGCAGGTTTTTTCCACTAAAAATACTGCTTGTCTTTGATCTGCTGTGCAAAGCTTTCAAAATAATGAAGGAAACATCTTTTTGTTCATTGTTGTGGAACTGTGTCCAGAACTGGGCTCAGAACTCGCAACCGTCTTGCTTTGAGAGTAACAGTTTTCTAAGGTTTCTGGTGAGTTAGTTCAGCATCTGTGAAGCTGGGCAAGGAGAGTAGAATTCTAATAGATAAGCAAGAGAGACACAAAAATCAGTAATCCCAGGAAAGGACTAAATGGCAAGGTGGCAACTGATAAAAGCAAGCTTAACATGGACTGGCTTTAAGGCATGATTTCTTCTTCCTTCAACTTAACTCAATGACCACGTTCAGTAAACAAGCTTCGTTTGGACATATATGTGCTAATGCATGCTTGCCTTTGACTTAAAATGGACTTCCTAACTAGAGAAAGGAATCCCAAGTTACTTGTAATGCTTATAATACACACACTTACAATGTAGAGGTGGTACTGTGGGAACCTATAGCATTGTGAAACAAGAACAAGATTCAACAAGCTCTGTAATGTAGCTTCTCAGTCAACACTAGGAGTAATCAGACAGTTAAACTGATGTAATGGGGATTATAAGAGAGAAATTAGAGACAGGAGATTTAGAAAGAAGCTGATCACAGGAATGGAAAGGATTGGAAAATATGATGGACAGATACCATGTTTGAAAGCAAGACAGCACAAAATAAAATTGATGATGTAAAAAATGGTGTGAATGACATCCGTGATGGATCAGGGTCAAAATATCATTGGCAATAATAAAACAGTGTAATTTATAGGCTTGGTAGGTAACTAGCTGGCATATATGAAGGCTCATTGAGGGACAGAAAATTGGATGGTGGAGCAAGAGAAGAAACTGGGAGCTGATTTGAAGTGTAAGTATATGGAAGGCTAAAGGTTTTGATGACCTCCTTTTCATGCTTCCTTCTACAGCTCTGTATCTGTATGAGTAATGATAGGTGTGACCGTGAGGAGAACACTCCTTATTCCCTCAAGTTCAGAGGTGCTCACATTTTTCCAAACTGTTTGGCACATCACTCCTAGGTTAATTTTACTTATGAATCACATTGCATGGTTTGGCATACACAGCTATCCTGGAAGTGTCATGAGGATTTGATGTTCTAAAAACAGGCTGTATGTCATAAGGTTTCCATGAAAACATTCTTTAACATAGGCATACAAAGCTTAAAAAGTGCATTTTAGTGCTGCTTTGTTTAAGGAGACTAAATCTGCAACTAATCACAGATTTTTAGAGACTGAAGTCACTTAAGATTGATTAAGATTTTATTTCCTGACTGCCAAATGCAAACATTTATCTGTTTTAGTGCTCAAAGCCTAGAGAGCCAAACTTCTCTCACATGCAACTCCAATCAAGTCAATGGATTAAGACCTAGGATGAATTTGGCACAGCGGATGACACTGCTTGTGCTTAAAGTGAACCTGCCTTGTATGATGAAGCTATCATTACAATTCATGGCAGGAATGAAATGTCAGTGACAGAGAGTACTGCTACTTCAGTCATGCCATGTATCTCAATGTCAGAACTCCCCTTGGAACTGACATTTCATTGCTACCACGTACAACTTTTTGATGTTAAGAATAAAATAAAATGTTAATAAGCAAGGGGTAGATATGGCCATACCAAAGATTTACGTAAAGCTTAATTTCACAAGCCACAATTGATTTTCATTTATAAGCATTGCAAAGAGATAACATACATGTAGCATGCTCTTTTTCTTGTCTTAATCTCAAAATACTTTAACATTATGGCGAAAATAGTGACTAAAGAACACACTGTATAACAGAACTAAACACAAGTTTGAAACAGAAGTTTATTCCTGAAGTTGTAAATCACTTATATTGCAAATTTTGGACTAGTCAAAGGAAAAAAATAACTGCAAAGAAAAGAATTAACTCAGTCCTGCTTCTAAAGTCTACTAAAGAAATATACTACTCACATACTACTAAAACAACTGGAAGAATTAGCTTACGTGGTGTATTTAATTTTGCTTATAGGAAATTAGAATTTTGCCTCACAAAGGCATGCAATACAGGCTTTGTCTACAGAAACATAACATGTTAATTGTAAAAGCTGCTCAGTAGGAACACAGAGTTCTTGTATCTTACCGGTGATCGTATCACAGCATTTTGTGTAATATGTTTTGCTTTATGTGTCACATAAAGCAGTGAGGAGCCACATTTGAGTGTGTGTACTACATAAGTTATTTTAATGTTCTGAAAAGATGCTGCTGAAAATGAGATCAAATTCTAGAACACACATACTCTCTTTAATAGTTTTTCGTATCTGCTAAAGCTAACATGCTAAAATAAGACTACATTATAAGGAAGAGGCATGAGGTGGGTATATAAAAAGACATGAGTAAGTGCCATGACTCAGCTGCCAAAGTACACAGTTGCCTACATGAATTACACACCTAAAAGGTGACTTGTGCATTCATATACCCAATTTGTGCTTGTAGTCATACAACTGTGCATGAACCTCAGGTCTTCTCTCCTGAAAATGTGACCACTGCCAATTATCATCAATTGCAAATCTTGAAAACAACAGAAGAATAAACCGTATTGTACATAGAATAAAAAAATTTCCCCCTTTGGGATCACAGGAATCCTATATGATTTCCTGGTCTGGAACTTAAAAACATCACTAATCCATTTCAAAGGACCTTTTCAATCAACCCTGTAATGCACATTACCATATTTCTCCCTTGGGACTGCTAAATGTTTCTTCTGTTTACTCATGGTAGAGTTGTTCCTTTATCCCAGGCACTGTAAGTTTGTGTTTGGGATACCAAGGACCCCACTACTAGCTATGGTGTCTGTATCTACATGTTTATAAAGAAATTACTGAACAGAAAAGCAAATATATCACGCACCTCCGGGGAGCCAGTCAAAAAAAACCCACTGTATCTAATTCTCAGTGGGGAAAATACCAGATTTGGGCAAGTCATTATGGGCAAAATCTGAAATAGATGTAGCTTTTCCTTCTGTTTGAAGAGGTTTATATTAGAGGATCTGAAGTTTCCTGACTGGACTACGATGGAATATGAACATTACACTCAATCAAAAGAAGCTAGAAAGATCATTATTTTTGAAGGAAATGTATTTTGAATGGAAGTATGAACCTATTATTTCAAAATAAAGATGACACCGATAAAAAGCAGGATTTACAAACTAAATGTTAGTAAAGAACCATACAATCTGATCTACTAGAAAATAATGGTAATGGCACTGTGATAGTGAAATCCTTTAAAAGAGAGATAGTTTGTAAATAATCATTTTAAGACCAGTGATTTTGCCTTTTTAAAATTATTTTTAAGTGCTGCTTCACACCCTGTAAAAAAGATAAAGAGAATGGTAGATAAAAGATAAAAAAAGATAAAGAGAATGGTGAGATACTCCGGAGCAATATATGAATATACATGCGCATATATATATATATCTATATATACTCGCTTTGTTCTTATACTCTTCCATAAGTGTCTGCTTTTGGTCATTGTCAAGACAGCACTCTGGGGTAGGTGGGCTCGTAGTCTGAGCCAGAACACTCAGGAAGTTCTTATTTAGCTTTTTACATGTGCTAGCTTACCTGGCATCCTAGGATATGTGCTGATGTTATTATTCCCTTTTGTATGATGACAGCTGTCTCTTAAATTTCCAAAGATGCCGCACATTGTAATGGGTTTGGTTAATATCCAGAACACTGTTTACACTGTATTGTGAAGCACTTTACACAAGTTCCATTGAGGTTTGAGAAGTAGCATGAATGGCTGCTGAAAGCTATCCTAGAGTAAAGTGTTGCCCTAGGCAGATTGTCCACTGACAGAAAGAACCTCGGAGCAACTTATTTTGCTCACCAGATTGGTAGAAAACCTAGCAAATGAACTATGTTGAACTTCAGAGGGACAGAGGAATAGTCCCTTCAAGCAAACCCCTGTGGCAATTTAAGATGCAGATGTAGCCTCCTGATTGCCCTTCTTTAATGGTTATTAACACTTACCAAAAGTGATATATAGGAGAATTTGTATGGTTCAGTTATCCTAGATCCACACGTCTAGTGTCCCAGTGCAAACCTATTTTCATTAGGCCAGAATTGGGGTGGCTGCACCTGGGAACACATCTGAACATGCCATCCTTGCTTCAGAGCAAGAAACCTCCAGCAAAGTCAGCATCATGATTTTAGCATTTTAAAGCACTCCTGCCAGATCTGCAAGAGCTTGTCTATCAGAGCCCTAAGGCTCAAATGGAAGAGAAATGAGTAAATTTGGTTGAAGTTCTCTGCATAAAACAGTGTCAGTTTCTCATTGGTAAAACCCTGCAAGAAAGATGTGGATGTATTTTAGCGAAGAGATGTACTTCAGCTGTGAAATGTCAGGGAAGAGAGCTGGGACATTTTACACCCTGCTGGCATCCTCTCCTAACACGATGATATTTACTACATGACTGTCCACTGCAATTGGAAATGCTAAATTCATAAAAGTCATTTTCTTAGACCCATTTTCAATTCTTATTACAATGGAGGCTTATAAAAGAGGATAAGCAAGCAGATACAGACACAAACCAAGACTTTTAAGTTCTAGCTCTCTAGCTACAAAGGTTTGCCTTTCTAAAAGGGGAAATTGTGTTAAGCAGTATGATTCATTACACAGTGCAGAAGCTTCCCTCTGTAACAGGCAGATTTGTACGCTTTCCAAGCTGTACATTCAAGTCAGTTGACTGTACAGCTATGGATTACACTAAAGTGCAACTCCAAGTGGACTGGGGAATACCCTGTCTACTTTAAGAAAGCCACGTTGGACGGCTAGGACTGATGGTGCACGAATAGTGCATGGTTTACTTCTTAGCTATGTCATCAGCATTTAAGTTCCCAATCCGTACTCCTTCATACCTCATAGTCCCTTTGAGGCTCCTTTTTCAATGCTACATTATACTTCTATTAAATTCTGGGTTTCCATTGGTATGGACTGTTTTATAAGGCTTTTTTTCCAAGATACTAATTTGGGGTTTTCTTCATGCTCAATTTGTAGCACAAACTTGTAAAAAGTTGTGCTTCCAAGAAGTGAATATAACTGAATGGTTAAACAAATTCATTGATTAATGTTTTTCTAAATTATCTGAGATGGAAATGTATCAAAGTACCTTATAGTATGAGCCAAGAAATATGAATTATTACAATTTATTACTCAAAAACTTATCCTTTCTACAACTCATCTTATTTGCTGTAATATGTAATAGCAAATACATTTGCCATTGCTTTAATAGCATTTGTATGCACTTAAAAGCTAGCAGGTACTTTTACCAAGTTACCAAATAAAGATAGATGAAACAATTATTCATTCAAAAAACCAGTTGAATAAAAAATGTTATCAGTGTGACAGCCTCCATCCACACATGCATAAGACGTATTAATCAACCATACCTTGTTAAGAAAGCAGCAGTAAACAGAAAATCCAAATATTTCTGTGGAGTTTTATATCTATCTACATTTATGAGAAAAGTTTTGGTAAAGATGAATGTACCTTAGTTTGCGTTTTCAAATTTAGCTAGTTATCTAAAAACACAGGTATTCCTGAGTATTATCCCAAACATTTAAGTCTGGATCCCTATACATAGTACTACACCTTCTCTGTAAAACCTAGATTGTCTTATTAAATTTTAATCTGGTTCTGCAAACCCACCTGCTTTTTCTCTTTCTGTTCTGTCTTTTCCATATTAACAAGCAATTGCAATCAGGCCCGCTCTCCCCTCTTACTAGCTCTCAGGTTAAGCTGATGGTTACTGTTATTAACACATCCTATGGAGCTGTCTTTTCAGGTGCTGCTTTTATTTTTCTTTTGATTCCTGCATTTTCTACTGAAACAACCCTTCTGAACACTGAGGGACTTAGGAATGCCTTAGATGAGACCATGAAGTCTCTAAAGGGCCCAAGATATTCTTGGATGTGTAGCTGGGTTTAAAAGAGAAACACAGCAATATGATGCAGAAAAGAACTCAAGGTCCAGCTGTCTCACTGGCTATGTCCCTGTAAGGAAGTGCCTCTATGTTGTAATAGATCACTTCTTTCCTTGTGATACACTTATGCCATCTTTTATAAAAAGCAGACTGTCTTAAATATATGACAAAACAAAGAGTAACATTATAGTAAATTTCAGTCACATCCTGAATCAACGTGAAGTTTGGAATCACAAATTAAGGGAAATTTGTTTACTCAGTTGCTGGTTTGGGGTTTTTTTCGCTACAGTTTAAGCCACAGCACAGATCTGAATGTACCTCAAGAGAAATTCAGAGTTGGACTGATAGCGTTCCAAATTCAGAGCTCTTCTACTCTGCTATTGCAATCTGTATATCAAGAAAAAGATGTGCTAGAATCATTTACATAAACTGGTTTGTTAGTATGTTTAATACCGCAAAGAAAGGAGCTTAATTTATTGCTGTAACTGAATATTATGAAAATCATAAATATTTGACTCCTATGACTGTTGATTCAACACTTGTCTGCAGTACTCTGTCAGAATCTTCAGGCTAAACCCCACCCATTTTATCATCAGAAAGACTTCCAGCATTGTCATTCTAGTTGTCAAGTTGTTTGCATTGATAAACAGTATTTTTTGCCTTGCAGGTGGTACTGTGAAGGGAAGGAGCTTGAAAACTCACCAGACATTCAAATTATCCAGACAGGTGATCAACACTCCTTGGTTATTGTTGAAGCTTTTGAGGAGGATACAGGACGTTACTCGTGCTTTGCTTCAAACATCTATGGGACAGACTCCACTTCTGCAGAGATTTACATAGAAGGTAATGTTAGAATTGTTGTGGAAATTGGTTGTTGAAATTGGTCATACAGGATTAAGATACAGTTATGTATTTTTTATGTTAACTGTGTAATAGATTTGTCACAAAAAGTGCATAGCAAGGAGTTAACACTGTCATTATTAACAAAGTTGTTATTTTTCTGTAAAATACCCTTCAGACAAGTGACTGCCCTTTATATATAATTTTATTGTGTTGCTTCCCAGAGATTTTATATAACTCTCTGCATGACTGAAGTCTAGAAATATTCAGATTCTGATGCTACCTTTTATTTTTTGTCTGTGATTAGTCTACAGAAATATAAGAACCTAAACTTTGTGTCTAATTCTTATTAATCCCTTTTCCCTACAGTCTTAGAGGCTCTGTCAGGTCTATTTATTATATTTCTTTTTAAGACTTTTTTTGGTAAAATTTTAGACTGCATCCACCATTGTGCTTGCAGGATTACAAATTTAAAATAAATACACATTTTTTTAGTTTTTTTCTTTTTGTCTTTTTTCCATTTCTCAGGCAGAGAAATATACTATGAGTACCATCACTGACAACAGTGGGACCATTCATAAATTAAAGCACCTACCTTATTTAATACAAAGTTAATTTTGCTCTACTGTTATTCTTCTTTCACATCTCTAATCTGACAGTGAAAGGACAAATCCTTTTTTAGTATCTGCACTGCCCTGACATTAATGGGAGATGTCTGTGCTTGGCAGGGATTCACTAGTTCTCGAGACTGGGGCCAAGGCCTGCTTTTACCTAACTCAGTGGATGTTGGATGGAAGCCATGGCTGATGGAGATGCTCACTGGCAGGAACTACAGAGAAAATGCAAATTCCAAATGCAGTGAAGGCTCAATTAGAAGTGTAAAATGTCTCAGTAAGACAGCTGTTAGTAAACTGAGTAGTATCTTCTCCAAACTGTGCTACAAGGCACTAGTTTAAGAATAATAGCTATGATATCAGGTCTCTTTCTTTTTTGCCCTTTTTTTAAAAAAAAACGGTAGAATCAGGTGTCTGAGGAAAAAAAAAAGTTCTTACTTGATTCACAACAGCAATTACAGACTAAATCATACCAGTGGCATTTTAAAGAGAATGTGAGGAAGACCCAGGTGTACATTCACTCTTGGATGCTGTTTTCCTCATTTCATTTGCACCTCATCCCAAATCTGCCTCATGTCAATAGCAGTTCTGCATCTTACACAGTATGCAACGTTGGTTCATTTCCACTGCAATGGCATCTTGTCTTTTGGCATAGTGTTATAATGTATATCCTCAGAATGCTCTAGAGGGAATTTGAATAAATGTTTGTATCATTCCTAGATAAACTCCAAAAACCTCTCTGCTAAGTGATTTTTTTTCTTTTTCATAGGAGTCTCTTCTTCTGACTCTGAAGGTGAAATCATCAAAGACGAAATGGATCAGTAAGTTTAAAATCAATTACATCTTCCTTATTTCTTACAGTTAAAAAACCCCACAAGCGTAGACATTTCACTTTTGATTACTATTTTGCGACTTTCAACACACTAGGCTTTTGTTTGGGATTTGTTTGGATTGTTTGGGTTGGGTTTTGTTTGTGTGTTTGTTTGTTTGCTTTACAAATAGTATGGAACAAATACACATTTGCTTGTGTGTCTTCAACTTTAAGTTAAGAATTGACACTTTAATATTAAATATAAACATAAGAAGAAATATGTTACCTTAAAGGTTAAACTACTAAAATTAATTTACTAAAACAGATGCCATTTGACTAGGCCCAACTTAAGTGCTGATTTAAGTGTCTGACCTGGAAAAACAGTGTAGTAAAATTTCTAACATGAAAATATGGTATGTCATGAAGTTTTTGGCAGAAGATGGCTATACATGGATTATTTAGATTTAAGATAAGGAAATTAACACATATGAACTAGAGTAAACTGAAATGATGGGTATAAAAGACTACTTAATTATAAAAAGAAAGAAAAGGTGTCATATGTAATCTAAAACCTAGGAAATAATTTTATTTTTCCTAAATGAAATCCATTCCCTGTGCATTCAGAACCCGATCCAATGCTTTTAAAATCTACAGTCATTCAGAATCAAAGTCTTTCTATGAACTGGAAAAGGAGTCAGACTGGTTGAAAACTAAAATAATCAATCCTTTGTATGCATTAATTCAACCCTCAAAGCATCAGTACTTTATAAAGAGGAAATTTTAGTCAGATAGACTTACGCACCTTGTTTTTTCCCATTATTTATTAAGGAGAGTTATACTCATCGCAAATGTAACTTTCTTTTAAAATGCAAATACAAAACACTGCAGTGTGTTTCACTGAAGACCTCAGGCTGACAGCAAACCCCATCTTAGGTGATTTTTACTTCAAAGTCATAAAAACTCCACATTGGATTGGTTTATGAACTTTGATAAATGTAAGGGGTTAATATAAAACTGAAAATCAAGAAGATCTCAAAGGTTTGGGGACAAATTGATCAGTTTTTCTTAGTTCTAGCTCAGACTTTTCTAAATGTCTCAGATGTAACTTTTTTTCTTATTCACTTCATTAGGTGCTAATGTAGTGTTGACCATGATCCTGATCACTTGATGGCATCTCTAAGTTGCTTACCTTATTAAATTGTGAAGTAATATGTACTGCGTTCTGCGTTTCTTAGAAAAAAAAGAATGCTGTTCTGACATTGTCCTCAAATGACAGAATTCTGAAAGATCAGGTTTGGGTATAATCAGAGTGTCTTTATTTTTGCTTAGCTTCTAGCTGTCATCACATGAATCTGAACACCTGTAATTAAAGGCAAATAATATGAAAACAGGTGCAAAAAAGGTCACAATTTCAAAACAGAAACAGTGATCACAACAACTGTATGTTCACTCTGAGTAAGGCTTCCTTTGGTTTGAAGGCTGGCTTTCCTGGGGGCACCTGTGGTACATTCCAGAGCAGCCAGTGCATACCTCAAACTGAATAAAAAGACCATGTCTTCATTGTCTGCATTATTTTATTTAGCAACAGAAATAAATAGGGCCAACTCTTTTACTTCCATATGGAAACAACCTGGATGAAGTGAAAAGGTGCCAACCTGTACACTACCAAAATCACATGATAAGCGATAAGCGGTCAGAAAGCATACCTCTCTTTTTTTTATTTTTCAGCAGTAAATTATTGAATCTGTTTCCAAGCAGACCATGGTATTTTCATTACCTTTTAGGCTCAAATCTTCATACAAGCTCAGGGACCAGTTAAAAAGAAACTAGCACTGTCCTCTGAGAAACTAGCATTGCTCTCACGCTGCTCAGAGCTGATAAAGAGAGCTTTCAAGCCTAAAGGGAGCTTTCAAGCCACAATGGGGTTAATCCAGGCCATTTATTAAGTTTGGTGTAACTGAACTAAGTATAAGAGATTAGAGTGGCAAGATATGCAGCCTGATTTTCATAAAATGCAGTTTACCTAGGAGTATATATCAGTTTAGATCAATTAGAATTCATTCCCAGAAGCGAGGCTGGGGTTGACATGTAATTGGGACAGACATCACTAAGTGACACACATGTAGCTCTAGCTTCCAATTAGAGAACTTGCTTGTGGTTAATATTTCACAGCAAACCAAAGCCAGCTGACACCTCCTTGAATGCAGCATCTCCTGCTGTTAGAACTGCAACCAAGCATCAAGAAACTTCGAAGGCAGCATCTGCCATGGCTCAGCCTGTGTCCGTACCTGTCCAGCCTGTGTCAACATCCGTTAATCAGGTAGGGGAGGCAATACGGTGAATTTCAAGGACCAAAAGCAAGCTCTTAAAAAGGTGCTTCTTCTACAGTTTGTGACTCAGAACCCCCAAATTTCTAGTTTTTGCTCTGCTGTTGAACTTCAGCTTTGAACCTTACAGCCATACAGGAGTTGCGTACACCGAAGAGATGCCCTGCCTGCCAGCTAACCTTTAGCACCTGGCAAAGGGAAAGGAACCTTTCATCCCCAGGTTACAGGCATCTCTGCGGCAGTGAGCAGAAGGAGCAGCTGCCGCTAGCTCGGCCAGCGGCAGGGAACTGT